TTATCATTCTATAATAAAAATATCTTCCACCTTCTAGATAATTTTAAAACTGCATGGTACAAATGACAAGAAAATTCTTCAGTTCCCTGAATACTGTTTTTCCTGTCTTAAGAGGGGAAGAACTGTCAATCAATTCTTTAATTTATTTAAAAAATTGTCCATAAACAACACACTTGATCTGCTCTTTCCTTGTCCTTTATATTGCCTTTCTAGTTTTTAGTGTGCCAAGTATTCTCAGATAGCTGAAACTTCTTATTGTTTAATTCAAAATGGAATTGAGAATGAGCCATGCAGAACTGTCAAACTTCTTAGAGTTTCAAAAATGCAAATCCTGCATGCCTACAAACTTATAGACCTATTAGATTATTAGACAGTCCATCTAAACTATAATGTCAATCTTCTGACACACCATAGGTCTTACTTTTTCAAACCAATAGTCTACATGGGGGTGCAGGTGGGTTTAAGCATAAATATTCATCAATTGATCATATATGCTGAAACAGTACTTTTCAGCCCTGATTATTTATTAGAATTACCCGCGGAGCTTTTGAAAATGCTAATGAAGGGCCCCTCCTAGACCAACCAAATAAGAATCTCTAGAGATGGAACCTAGAGGAAATAGGCTTTTTTGTTTTGGTTTCTTAAGCTCCCCAGGTGAGTCTAATGTGCAACCAAGATTGACACTCACTTTCATATATGATATTGCCTGTAAAGAAATTTGCCAGAAATTATATTAAATAGTTTATAGCACTTTTCTCTCCCAACATGCATTCACATTTTCTGATCAACAATACATGTTTGATGAAGAAAGTGTGGAAAATACAGAAAAGCATAATAAAATATATTAAGACCATTTGTGGTAACAGCCACAGATAATTACTGTTAATATTTATATTATTGCCTTTTTATTCTATTTTCTGTGCACTTACACCCAGATAAAATATTTTAGAAAATTGGGATACTGTTGTTTATACTGTTTCACAATCTGACTTTTCTCTTTAACAATTTGATCATAATTTACTTCATTCATTCTTTGTCTCTCTGATTGGAATAGCATCTTTACCAGGTGTTAAAGTGATCCTCTTAAAACATAAATTGTCTCATGTCAAAGACCTTCTTTCATAACTTTCCCTTTCACTTATAGAGGGCTTGTAAAGTGCTATAAGATCTCACCCCTGCCTCTTTGCAACTTCACCTTACACCACTCTTCCCATTGTTCAGTCTATTCCAGACACATCCATCTTTGAGTTCTGTTATGTCAATTACATCTCAATAAAACTGAGGGAAAATACTTATTTTTTATTGGGGGAGAGAAATAGCTCAGTGATAGGGCGCATGCTTAGCATGCAGCAGATCCTGGGTTCAATCCCCAGTACCTCCATTAAAAAAAAAAAGCTTTCCATTCTAAAACAAACTACTATCTGAACATGTTTAAAAAGAAACATGTTATTCTTTGCCTAGAATCCTCTTTATTGCATGTTCCAAAGAGCTGGCTTCTCTGGCAAAATGCTACTTTGCCTCAGAAAGTCCTCCTCTGACCACAGGTTATAACTATTCTTACGTCCTCATTTCAACTGATCAAATGCATTATGGGTAGCACATGGCTGGAGTTTAATTGCCATTTAAAATGACTTCAAATCAATAACACTTTGATTTGGCATTAAACTAAAATGTTATTATGTAAGCAGAAAGCACAGAAACAGAGTAGCAGAGTATACATTTGTTATTAGTGAAGCAAATGGTCCTCAATGGAGGAATCAACACATTCCACATTTTGCAAAAGAACTGAAACACTAAAGGGACCTAGAAAAGAAAATACCCATAAATAGATGAAACTGTTGTGTTATGATATTAAGATGTATGCAAAAGGATACTTGATCATACATAAAGCAAGAAAGTGCCAGTATCAAAATTTACAAATGGATAGCAGAGACTTGGAGAAAATTCGTGACAGCAGAGTAGCACTTTAAAGAATGCAGCATCATCCACACCCTTGACAATGGAGTATGATACATGGAAAAACAGCAGCATCAGCAACTCAGTGAGAAACTGAATGTAAAGTAATATTAGGAATGCCTTAACCAATACATACAGTGCACATTTATTATGTACAAGAGTGATATATGATACAAATGTTTTTAAAAGGCTAAAAGTTCTTTCAATAATTACGAGTTGGACATTTTATTTTCTTTCTTGTGCTACATAAAATTATGGGGCATCTTACAACTGAATGTATCTTAAATTCAGTGAAACAGATACATCTAATAGAAATGCTAGAGAGAAGAGAGGAGGGAAAGGTAATTTTTGAAGCCGTAATTGTTGACAATATTCTAGACTTGATGAAATACATGAATCTTCTGATTCTGGAACACAGAATTTCCTGAACAGGATAAATAAAACTAAATCCATACCTAGATACATGGTAGAAAACTAAAGAATTCTACAAGGCCAAGGTAAAGTATTAGAAGCGACTAAAGAAAAATGCTGTAAAAAAAGGTAGAAAGAAGCAATAAAGGGGGGATATTTATAATAACGAAATGATTAATATATAAAGTACTCCTTTTAATCAATAGGAAACAGAAAATATATTAATAGAAAAATATGAACATGCAAAGGTCAAGAAATATATGAAGGATATCCAACCTGCACCAATTTTTAATATGCAAATTGAAACTTTCACACAAATGGACAAATGAGACTGCTAATATCTATAGTTAAAAAAAATGAGAAATGAGCATGCTTATAGTCTTAGCCAGAAGGTAAATTGCAAACTTTTATTAAGTCAATTTAATAACATTTATCAACGTTTTAATATGCATGCTCTTAGATCCAACACTACTACTGCAAGGAGTTGCCGAAATTACAATAAACTGGTAAGTGGGTTACATACGTAGGCTATTATGCCATCTTTTTAAGAGGTGCTGGTATAAAAAAGATGTACGAGTCATAAAATTAAACATACTTTATTAAGTACTTTGCAGAAGTGTTTACGGTGTAAACCCATTTTTTAATGTACATTTGCATAGGGGAAAAAAAGCTTAAAAAGTTTTATACGGTAAGCGATACCAGTCTGGTGTGTTTATGTGGTAAGAGGTGGTGGTGGGGAGCCAAGACAACTTCTTTATAAAACCATACTGTATACCTCCTTGTCGTTTGACTTTTAGAAGTGCCGCTATAGTAGCAAAAATAAAGTGCACATTTAAAGCAGCTATACTCTTTAGGTTACAAGATGGCTTTTTCTCCTAGTAGGTTGTATCTGCGTTTCACTTTCAGTTTCATGGCTGAAAATTTCCTACCCATCAAGCTGTTGAGGAGGCACTACAAAGCCATAGATCAACGACCCCCAGCCTGGGCTTGACCTTCACACTCGCCCGGACATGTCCATCGTCTAGGTTCCGGAACCTGACAAAAATGCTAAGTCCTCCCAGACGCCCACCAGCCGGCCCTCAGGAGGCTCAGCGTTCCTGCCCCGCCCCCACACCCACATCCTCCAATGGATGTTGGGTGTGGGGCGGGCTTTGTGCAGATCAGGAATACGATTGGCTCTGCGTCTTTCCGCCCAGACAGCGGGGCGGGGCAGCGTGGTGACGTCTCCACGAGGGGCGCGGGGCGTAGCGCGCTGTCCCTGACGCTGCTGTATTAAACGGCTGCAGGCGGCGCGAGCTGGTAGTGGGATTTCTCCGGCTTAGGCTATCGTAGCGGTCTTCCTCCGCTCGCTCCCATCCTCTGAAAGCTAAGCCGGCTACACCTTCTTCCTTCAGCTTGTACCCGCGTCCCTGCGACTCCGCCACCATGTTCGAGGCGCGCCTGGTCCAAGGTTCCATCCTGAAGAAGGTGCTGGAGGCACTTAAGGATCTCATCAACGAGGCCTGCTGGGACATCAGCTCGAGTGGTGTGAACCTGCAGAGCATGGACTCGTCCCATGTCTCCCTGGTGCAGCTCACTCTGCGCTCCGAGGGCTTCGACACGTACCGCTGCGACCGTAACTTGGCCATGGGCGTGAACCTCACCAGGTGAGCCCGGGAGCCGCGGAAAGCCGGGCCCTGACCCACCCCCGACCTGCGGCTCTTGGCGGGAGCGCCTCCGAGCCGGGCCCTCATTGGCTGGCGTGGGCCATCTGCGCCTTCTCATTGGCCTGCGGCGCCGGGGGGCGGGACTCACTGGAGCGCGCGGTTCAGAAAGCCCGCGCTGGCTGCAGCGCGAACCGGCTCTTTCCGCGCCAAAGTCACAAAGCGGGTGGTGGCGGGAAAATGACAGGCTTCCCCGCGGGGCCAGTAAAAGACTGTTGCAGAGCTCTTTGGGCCTTATGTGCAGGTGGCCTTGGATGAGAAACGTTGGTCCTAGTTGATTTATCGCTTTATGATGTTCCCCCTAGTTCTGCCACCCTATATAGGGACAATAGCTTATTTTATTTCTGCAGAGTTGAGATGAGCCCCCTAAGATCCTGGACTTGAAAATTTTATCCAGAGCAGTGGCTTTCAACTTTTTGACCACTACCTATCTTGTACATACACGTGTTTAAATCTTAAAGCTTTTGGGAAATACCTGTGCTACATGCATCGTGTTTTAATTGGTATGTTAGATGGTTTCTAAAGACCGTCGCTGCCCAGTAATTTACTCACCTACTAAGGGATTTGCAATTCGTAAAATACAGCTTTTTAATTTACATCCAGCGTAGTAGTGTGCGGGCTTTTTAGTTTAAATATAAATACCGCCAGATTGCATTCCAAAATGGCTGGACCGGCTTACACATCCTCTTGCAGTACGATTCCCTGACTCACTTATTCAGCAGGTGGTCTCATGGTTAGAACTGGTAACTCCCCAAAAACAAACAAACAAACAAAAACAAAGCGTAAATACAGGACAGAAATAGACTCACAGACAGAGAATACAGACTTGTGGTTGCCAGGGGGATGGAGGGTGGGAAGGGATAGATTGGGATTTCAAAATGTAGAATAGATAAACAAGATTGTACTGCATAGCACAGGGAAATATACACAAAATGTTATGATAACTCAAAGAGAAAAAAATGTGATAGTGTGTATATGTCCATGAATGACTGAAAAATTGTGCTAAACACTGGAATTTGACACAACATTGTAAATAAATCAATAAAAATGTTAAAAAAATAAAATGTTTTTAACTTTTTAGCAAAAAAAAAAAAAGAACTGGTAACTCCTTGTTTTAATTGCCTTCGAAATCTAATAATCTTGAGAAGATGGTGTCGGTTTTAAACCCTGTGTCTTCTGTGTTCCAGCATGTCGAAAATACTAAAATGTGCTGGCAATGAAGACATCATTACACTAAGGGCTGAAGATAATGCGGACACCTTGGCACTCGTATTTGAAGCTCCAAGTAAGTGACACCCTGCTACTGAGTTATGCTAGTGTCAGTATTTCCCAAAGCTAAGAGAAATTTAAGATAATGTTTTACGGTTTACCTTGTAGTTATTTTATTCTCCATTTGCTTTCTTTTGGTAGATCAAGAAAAGGTTTCAGACTATGAAATGAAGTTAATGGACTTAGATGTTGAACAGCTTGGAATTCCAGTGAGTATCAAAAGTTTCTGATTGAGCATACTGTACAGTCATAATAGTTACATTAGATATGTTAATATAATAATATAATTTAAAGCCTACTTCCTAACAACTTTTTTTTGCCTGCATGCTGATGCATGTTCC